GTTCAATCCCCCATACCACCACAAAAACAAAAAACAAAAAGCCCACCCCCACCTCCTTAGTCGTATCTCCATGCCTAGGTATGCATGAAATAAATTTGTATTGTGTTTTCACAGTGATATTTTGAGATATGCCCAAACTTAAAATTCTGATTAAATGTTCAGACCTCAAAACATATTTTTTAAAAAGTCACTAACTTCAAATATAGGCACTTAGTAACAAAACTCCCTGTAAGGATACTCTAACTTTTGTCCAATGAATTTGGGGGGGGGGGGGGGAAATCACTCCTATGCAATTATTTAATTTTTTTTTTAAAAAGAGGGAAACTCTTGAATATTTGCTAAATGAGAAAGCTTGCCTAAGCTATTCATCTTACAGTCTATTCTTTTCTTTACTTACTTAAAATCAAAACTGAAGTACTAAATTTAAACTCCAGCAAATTCAATATGAAGATACAGGTAAAAGAAACATTATTTGCAATAATGTTTCCTTAAATCATTAAAGGAAAATTTTAGTCCAAGATTCCCATAATCTCTTTTCAAAGATGGGAAAAGAATGCTTATCAAATTCTTCCCTCGATACACAGACATGCAGGCACATAGAAGAAGCTAGGCACTGGGTCTGCAAGGTCTCTCTGCTTAGAGGTTGATAAGTATTCAGAGAACGGAAAGAAGGAAAAAAGCAAAAGGGTGGGGAGAAAATGAAAAGCAGTTATTAGGATCTTAAAAGGACAATTCAGTATAATCCTATTTCATGTAGTAGAACTACAAATTAATCCAAGAATTATAAGAGAACAAAAAAAAGTGGGTAAAGGACAATTTAAAAAGTAAAGATAATTTCAGGATTGTTGGCTCTGACAATATCCTTTTAAGAATTCTGCTGAGAAAGCTAAACACATTTCTAGCTTTGGCAGTAATTTCAGACATTACAGGATAAATGAAAACATTTATTTCTGAAGAAAATTATAGTGACAGATTGCTATGCTATGGTGAAATATTTGTCAGTATTTCCATCTTACCCTCCAATTTTCATAACTTCCTAGCTCAGATTTTGTTGAAACTCAAAAGCATCTGAACTTAGTTTTTTAAAGTTCATATATCAATCATTCCCATAACCCAAGTGTTTTATATAGGTATATAGTACCAATAATTTGTAAGTAACATTTTTATGGATAAATACAGTAATTTTTGCTTACTTTAAAATTTTTTCCTACACAAGAAATAATGTGAGAATCAAAACCAAACAACTGTGTCCCAAGGAGGATATAAAACAATGAAAAATTAAATCTCTAACTAACATTTACTGCACACTATATCATTTAGAAACCTAAACTACATTTCTGAAAGCTCAATCTTAAAGTTGACCCTCCATGTCCATATTCTACATCCATGGATTCACCTAACTTTAACTCAAAACTACTGGGGAAAAAATTATACCTGTATTGAACACACACAGACTCCTTGTCATTATTCCCTAAATGGTACAACACAGCAACTACTTACATAGCACTTACGTTGTATTAGGTGCTAAAAGTAATCTACAGATGATTTAAAGTATACAGGAAGAGGTACATAGGTTGCATGTAATTTATATAAGAATTTTAGGCCAGGAGTATAATCACAGACACTTGGGAGGTTAAGGCAGGAGGACTGCAAATTGGAGGCCAGCCTTGGCAACTTAGTGAAAATGAAAAAATAAGAAAGGCTATATAGCTCAATGGTAAAGTGCCCAACGTTCAATCCCAAGTACTGCAAAAAAAAAGGAAGACAGATTTAAGCTTCCACAGATTCTGGTATTTGAGGATGGTCCTAAAGCCAATCCTCTGAAAATACTGAGGGACCACTGCATTAAAAATAAAAATAAAAAATCCTAGGGAAAATATATTAAAATATTCTTTGTAATGTCCCTTCAAAAGTGGATCTGGGGTGATTTTTATTTTTATTTTTTTGTTTATTTGTTGGTTTGCTAGGTTTTCTAGATTATCTTTGTTTTATCATGGGAGTAGGATTAAAAAAAGAAATTGGTGGTGAAGTATAATGCACTTAAGCCATTTGGATGACTTCAGAAAATATACAGTAAACAACTATTTATTTTGGTGGTCAAACTGATAACACAATGCCCTCTTGGGAATTTATTTCAAAGTATATGAATAATAGATTTTTCTCACAACCAACCAGCCTTGTGAAAAATCACCATGTATTGAGAAAATAACATCACTGACAGGCTTTACACTATAATGGAAATGTGTTTTTCCATATTCTAGAATCCAATGTAAACCTCTATTTTTATTTTTGCAAAAAAAGGGGAATCTGTTACTGAGTTAATAACTTGCAGTACATATTTATCTCATCTGATTTAGAGCCCTCTTGTTTTTAATGTTTTATAATTTTAAAATATACTTGCTTTCACCATTTACAGTAGCTCTGAAAGGGGTCAAGAAAAAAAAAAAAAAACTAAAGAAATAATCAGTCCTGTTTTAGAAATCTGGAGTTAAGCAAGCAGGGGATGACAGCATCTCCCTAATCCTCACAGGGGATCATCTTTATGAAAGAAGGCCATTAGCAGAATAGTACATGTTCCCTCCTAATTTCTACCCAAACTCCTACCTCACAAATATAACAAAAAGAGAAAATAAAACAAAACCCTGGATCTCTAAAGCTGTCAGTACAAAAATATCCAGGAGGACAGACCCCCAAATGCCATAATGGCCCAGTCTACACAAGACTCAAATCTTTAAGGACCTTGGAGATGGGTGCAGTGACCCACATCTGTACTCCCCAAAATTTAGAAGGCTGAGGCAGGAACACTACAAGAGTAGCCTTGGCAACTTAGCAAGTCCCTCTCAAAAACAAAAAGGACTTGGGGTGCAGGATGGGAGGGAAGGGGTTGGCCTAGTGGTAGAGTACCCCAGAGGTTCAATCTCACACATACACAAAAAGACCTTGTATAGCAATAAGTATGCTCATTTAATAATGAATTTATTACTTACTAAATGTTTCGTTTATTTCTGAGTGGTATTTTAGTAAGAAAATGCAAATATTTTAGAAAAAAAAAAAAAACACATTTCCAAACCTCATCATTTTGAACCTAAGTACAAGTACACATGACAGGCGATGACCATCACAAACACTGCACACCACAGTCTAGTACCACACACCAAACTGATAACTACACAAAACTCTGAAATAGTTATCTTGTTTCCTGAGACTTAAATTCATTCATTCCTGCCAAATCACTATTATATTAACATGAAGTAAAAATGGAATCTTGTTTCCTGAAGAGATTATACCTCTATAGTGTTTGATTCAAATCTAATTTATTTAGTTTTTTTACCAAATTTAGTGTCAAACAGGACTAATGAGCATTTTCTAAAGTTGGAGGGAATTCAAAAATTCTCTTAAAACCAAAACAATACCAAATAACCCTAGAAAACAAACAGCAGAGCTTACAGCAATTTTAAAGGTTTGATACAGCCAAAACCAAATTATAAACTTTCTATACTGCTTTACCATCCCCACAAGATCTTAAAATTTTCTCCTTGAACTAGGAAAATAATCCAACATGATGTCTCTGCAAGTAATATAAACTAAATGTGACTTAAATATGCTTTACATAGTAAAACAGCTCAAAACAAATAACAACAAAAACATTTCTTTCCAGAAACCACAGGAAAGGTTCAATAAATGCTGCCCAAACAGACAAGACCTTAACAATTTCAAGAGATTACTTTCCCAGACTTGGTAACAGCAATGGGTACTTACAAACACAGTAATGTCTTGTATAAGTATAATGTCCAGTTTACCATTCAGATTCGTGGGTTAGGAAACACAAGGGCCCTCTTTCTATAATTTCCTGAGTATCACATTTTGGTTTCTGAATATGAAGAAATCAAACAAACCATCCTAAACAATTTAAAAAAGGTAGAGTTTTAAAATCACAGTTGATCTCCACTGAAAATCCATGTTAAATAAAAAACAGAAATGGAAAATATGATCTTACCAAAAAAATTAACAGTATCTCGCATCTCCTAAACTCCCTTTTAAAAAGACAAAGCAGAAATAAGAACGACACAAGATTCAATGTAAGGCTACTAACAATTTAGATAATTAGATAATTGATAATATAGGCAAATTAGACTGGAAGTTTCTACACCCTTTTCCCACACCAAAAGGAAAAAAAAAGTCATTTATCATTAATCTCCTTGCTTTGACCCAACCTGTTAAAAAAAGAAAATTCTACCATCAACCAAACTGATCTTTTTTTTAAATATTTTTTTTAGTTGTGGATAGACAATACCTGTATTTTATTTTATTATTATTATTTTCTTAATGTGGTGCCAGTGATGGAACCCATTGCCTCACACATGCTAGGCAAGCGCTCTACCATTGAGCCACAACCCAGGCCCCCAAACTGATCTTAAGAAACAGATTTTTCTGACTGTCCATCTGTTAGGATGATAAGACCTGAAAATGTAAGAGTAAAGATAAAACCTAAACTCAGCCCAGAACTGAGATATCAAGAAAGAGAACGCACTTCTTACATAAGCATTGGCACATGTTTTAAATATAGCTGGTCCTCCCCACTCCCACTCGTTGCTAGCTAACTTTGTATATACCTGAATTCCATATAAACTACTAGCAAATCTGTGATTTCTTATCATCTCCCAATACGTCAAAGAGTCCGCCCTGAAATACAAGGGCCATTTTTTAATTTAAGGATCAGACAGAAAATAAAAAGTGCTACCTCTGCCATCGGGCGCTCAGCTTGGGTCACGACTGCAGCACCGACAGCTCATCCTTTTGGGCACGATTCAAGATTCAACAGAACTGCACACTCCGTATTTTAAAAAATAAAAAAGACACACAGTCCTCTCCTTTCCTTTCAGACTAGTTTCCTGTTTACTGCAGACTCTGATGCAAAGCCATCCATTAATCTTTGATGCTTTCTCATTGCGATGGCCCCTTCCTCTCCCCGCACCTCCTCCCCCCACGCCTGCTGATCTCAGAAGCGCTTGAACTATAGTAACCCCAAGCCAGCTCGCGGCAAGCAGGCAGCGCAGCAGCAGCAGCAACAACGCGGCTGCGGCCGCCCCGGGGCTAGGGGATTACGTTCAGCAAAAACTCTGCCAGGAAAGAGGCCCGGGAGCTCCCCTCCTGTCTAGCCAAGGGTGCAGGCTCTGCCGCGCCACACAACAAAAGGCCTGCGACTAAGATGCGGGCGAAGTTCATAATTTCCGTACAGACTGGGGAGTCATGCCACAAGGGAGGGCTTAAATCTCGAGGTTCTTAGGTGTGCAAAGCAGAACTGGAGAGGGAGGCCCGAGGAACAGCCAGCACGAGAGGAAACCGCGGGTACAAAAAGAAAGGGATGAGCAGTAGCTCTCTTACTGTTAAAAAAAAAGGGGGGGGGGGGTACTGACAGACGGGATGCAAAGCGACGGGTCCCCACTCTTGGCAGGCCTGTCTGCACCCCTAATTCTTACGCTGCCTGGACGCATGCAGTCTGGGGCTGGGTACACGAATGAAGGGCAAAGGCGAAGTAGAGAGGGAGGGAAGCCTGGAGGCAAAGTGGACAAAGATGCTGAGAGGTAAAGTTGGAAACAGAATCCGGAGAAAAGGAGCTGGGAACGGGTAGTTCAGGAAGGGAGTTGGAAAAGGCCTTGAAATGGACCGCTGGAGAGGCTAACGGAGAGAACCCAGAGTGGGGGCATCTCAGGAATGTGAGGGGCATCTCCAGGCGCTGGAGAGGCGAAGAGATGCGAGGGTGGGGAGGCTGCGGCCGCGGCCTCGGAGAAGGAGGAGGGGGCCCCCGCGCTGGGCTCCGGGAGGGAAGCAGAGTCGGAAGGGGCCGGTCGGGGCCCTGGGACCGCGGGAGGGGTTGAAGGATGAGAGGGAGGGGGCGCGGGTTTTAGAGGAGAGGTGGACCCCGCAGAGGCCGGGAAGAGGAGGAGGGAGGTGAGCCGGGAAGGAGCGAAGGGGGAGAAGAGGAAGGAGCGGGAGACCGGATGGGGGAGGGGAGGGGAGACCAGGGAAGCGGGCGGGGGCGCCGGGATGCGATGGGGCTGGGCGGCGCGGTCACCTCTGGCTGCAGCCTCCCTCCCAGCGGGACGGCGCTGCTGGCTGACGGTCTCCGCAACTCCCCGGCTCTCTTGCCTGCCCTCCTGTCCTCTCCAGGCGGTGGCGGAGGGGGCCGGGACGGCGCGGCTCACAGCGGCGGCTCTTCGGCGCCGGGCCTTGGTTGCGGCGTCTTGGGAGGCGGAGGCAGCGGCGGCGGCAGCGGCCCGGCCCGTGCGGTCACCATCGTCCGTAGCGGCAGGCGCTCACCGGCCGAGCCCCTTAGCAGCCGGCGGCGGCAGCGGCAGCCATGGCCTCCTGCGCTCGCTCCTCCCGCCCCCGGCACTCTGCGGTGGCTGGCCCGGCTCCCGCGCTCTGCGCCTGCGCGCGGCACCGCCAGGGCTGCGCGCCCCGCCCCCCGCGCGCCCACGCTCACTCACAATCGCGCGCTGGGTGGTTCCCGTGCCGGCTGCGGTACCCGGGCGGGAGACACAAGCTTCTCCCGACCTACACAGCCGGCTGGGGCAGCTATGGAGACGCGTACCACGGCGACACCGGTACGCGCACTGTGACACGCGCCATTCTGACACACGTGCTCTCGCACACTGCCCAAACACCAAGAGCCGCACGCGCTCACACCCACGCTCACCTGCCGGGACCACGTGGGAGAGAATGTGAAGGGCTGGTCCATTCCCGGTGCAATCTCAGTAACAATGATGCATGCAAGAATTTTTTTTTTTTTTAAGACTCCCTCTCTCATAAGACTAGACTATCGACGCCCTCGGGACCACGTCCGTGATAACTTAGCAGGGCCCACTACCGAATGGGCACTCAATAAACCTCTGTGAAATAAAAGAGCTTGAATGATGGAGCTGAATAAATGAGTTGCAATTGTTCACTGAGTATCTTTCGTTTGAACGTTCTGATTTCTGTGTTTGGTTCAAATAATTTCACTATAGTATGAAATCATGTTTGTGGGTTTGTCTTGTCTGTTGGTACAAGTCTAAAAACTGATTGGTGTACACATACTCTCCTCAACATAGAGGAAATCCATTTGTTCTGCTCAAACAATAATGAGCATTCCTACCATAAATGTCAATGCTATTAGGGCCTGAACCTTGCCCACAATGCTAGCCTGAAGCTTGTTGTGTTACCGAACACATCAAGGATGTCACTAGTTGCTGGGCTTTAGCAAGACTTCTAGATCTATTGCCTAGCCTAACCAGGATCTTCCACAATCCCTCCACTGTTGTTGCTATTTTTTGGATAGTCCTTGGAGAGCAGGTTTCCACTAGAAACTAGTGTGACCTGTCCTCTGCACTATAAAGGGCACCTCCCCTCAATTCTGAACATCCTATGTCTTGCCAAAGTTGTATAAGCAAGCTCTACATAAATAGAAAATGTGATCCTATAGGAATCAGTCAACCAGATTCAGAGTAACTTGCCTTCTACCAGCTGGACAGCTCTTAGAAATCAAGTTTAAAATATTTCTGAGAACTGTGTTCATCACTCTTTATAACCACCTTTTTATCCAGGTGCCTTAGACCACTTTAGGATAATCATTAAGCCTGTCATATCACAAAGAGGCAGTTTTATGAGTCTTTATATAGCCTAGTAAGAAATTACAGAGGCCACATGACTAACAATTGAAATAGGAAACTTCCCAAGATAGCAAGGCCTTCACCTTCATTCCCTCTGTTTTAACAATTTTACTATTGCAGTTCAAGAAGACAGAAGGTCAGAAACAGATTACAAAGAAATCAAAATGTATATAACACTAAATCATCATTTGATTTATTTATCATTCTTAGTTAGATTGAAGAATCTTGAAAATATTACTTTAGTATTGTCATTGGATTTGTAATTTGTTTATGAAAGGAAAGTGACCACAACACTCAAGCAACCAAAAGATCTTTATTGCAGCAGTGCAACAAAGAGAAAAGAAAGAAGGAGAGAGAGGGGGGGGGGGGGGGGGGGGGGGGGGGGGGCGGGGGGAAGCGCACGCAGGAGAGAGACAGAAAGCAAGAGAGGGAGCAAGAGAGAGAGAGAGCAAGAGAGAGGGGGGCCTGGCAGGAGGGAGTTTTTATAGCCCAAATCTAATGGGGCCTCTGGGTCTGCAAGCTGCCTTGTTGGCCCAAGCGGGGGTTAAGTGTTCAGCCTTGAGCAGGGTTGAATGTTCAGACTTGAGGCAATCAGGTGATAAAGGACCAGATAGAGGGGGGGTTGAGTGCGTGGGCTATCTTGCAGCCAACATCTGTTCAGCCTGCCCTGCAGACAACACAGTTCAGCCTGCTCTGCACCCAACATTCCTCCCTTTTTGTTTTTCTAAGTGACATGGGGGACGGCATAAAGTCCTCTGGCTACTTCCTGCTTAATGGTGTTAGTGGTGTTAGACCTAGAAGGGGAAGTGGAGGAATGTTCAGGGAACAGGTCTGAGAACACCAGGGCAGCCAGAAATAACACTCAGTGGCTACAGACAACTACTGTGGTAGGGGTAAAGTCCATAAAAGTTCCTTGAAGCCACAAGTCCTCGATGGCATCAAACCAGTCCTGGATGGAGGAGATTCTTGGTATCAGCCACTGGTCCTGTAGCAGGGACTCTAGGAAGTATTGGAGGTGGCTTGGTTGAATCCAGTAATGTTAAGGGTGACAGCCTGATTGCAGCCAGTGGAAGGGCAATCGCCTTGACCCATAAACTGAGAGTGGGTGGTGTCATCCTGGTGTCATGTTGCTTGGATGTAGAAGCAGCATCTGTGGTTTGAGATAAAAACTTGAGAGAGAATAATGATTAGTAAAAGAAGAAGAGGGTTGGCAAGAAATTTTGAGTTTGGTAGGCATGGTTGAAGTCCAAGACTGGACATTTGGAACAAGTGCCTTTTTAAGGTGGGAGACATTGTGGTACCAGGGGGAGTTTAGGTTTGATGCTTCCTTGTGGGGATACTGTAGAGCAGACAGAATAAGCAGAGTGGACATGCTGGAGAGTAGTTCTCATTCCTAGGAAGTGAAAGAGGGGTTGTGAAAATTGGAAAAAGGGGTTAGAGAGGGTTTTAGATGGGCACAGTGTCTCTGGAGCCAGAGGAGTTGGTCATGAGTCGTAGGTGTCCATCTTGGGCATCAGGGCTGGTAGTCTTAAAGAAGTAGTTGATTGACCAGCTTGTTGGTGAATTTGTGTATCTGATCTTGCATGAACTTCTGTAGGCAATTTAATAGACATGGTTCTATTAGGAGAAACATAGAGAGGACTAATAGGGGTCCTGTGAGGGGGAGGAGCCAAGGCCATACTTAATTGAGCATTCCCCATGGAGCCTGTTGGCTTAGTTGCTGACTCCTCTTTTCTAGCTGTTCTTGTCCTTTATTACTCCCAGGAATGACTGTGTTTTGGCTTAACTGTTTTTGGTAGGTGTTTAAGATCAAGTTGGTCAAAATTGATTTTGTTTCTATCTATTGTTAAGAGTCAGCCGAGTTCCCATAGGGGTCGCTCGTGGGGGAACCTGAGAGCAGCTTCATAGTTCTGCTAGTGCCATTTGCGCTAGGATGGGTCCAGGTCTTGCTTGACCATGTGGCTTCCCTTGGAAGCATCAGGGATGTCTCCTGTCTCCAATGACCCTCCTATTCACAGCAAATGCACTGATTGGCTTTTCATTCTCCAGTGGTCTCATTAATCTCCCTGATCAGGAGGTTATATGGCCCAGAGTTGCAAAGCTCTTTAGAGAAGTTCCCTGTTCCCTGGATTCAGACTGACTCAGAGGGCCAGAGCCAAATATTGGTTTTCTTGGCCATTTTAATTTAACTTTAAGTCTTGATCATAAACATCCAGCAAAGTCAGTTTCACCCTAAATTAAGAGTATTGGGCTTTAGCTGAAGTCTGGCCTACTTTGGAGTCATTCTGACATGTAGTAAGATGGGAAGCACAGCCTTATCCCAGGTAAGGCTAAGATTTATAAATCTTAGGTAAAGTGTTCTAGTATTGAAGCTGATCTTTTTTTAAAAAAATATTATTTTATAAAATTTACATATATTGTTGCTTGATGTCACATGAATACTAGGTAATACAGTATATTACATTTAAATTGTACCCAGTGTATAGAACTTTATATTAATCTTATTGATAACAGGTCCAGTTATAAAACATTAAATGATATAAATAAATCTCCGATATGTTATTTTTATAAGCCTAAAATAACCATGCAACCTTTTGGAGAACACCAACTTGATATAGTTTTTTTTTTTTTTAAAGCTTCTATCTTAATGACATATACCTGGAAAATATGAACACATTTAATATACAAAGAAGAGTAATAGTACCACAATTATTATTGATGTTTTTATATTAATCAAGTTTAGCTTTTAAAGAAATAACATATTACAATATTGCAAAATAACAGTTGTTGTTTAACCATAGTTGTATATACAGACCTTCTTTAGCACTTACTTAAACCCTTTTATTTACATAATAGACTCTCTTATCCAGAAACACATTTTCCTTCTATTAAATCCATATCTAGAACCTTCTAATTTCTCTTTCCTATTTGTTAACTCTTTCTTTTTTTACATTTTTAAATAATCCTTGTAAATTTCTGAATTTAGGCAAATTATTCCATTTTAATAAGAGATATTTTGTTATTTGCAGCACACAATTAATCACATCTGTTGACCATTTCATGAAAACATGAACAATGTTTAAGTATATAGAATTATACTGTTGTAGGGACAGACAAGGCAAGGCACCTAAGATAGCACTGAAGATAGGGAAATAGTTTTATTTGGTTGCAACCGGATTCAGAGGGCACTGCTTCTGTTGTAATCAATTAATCCCCTGAACCCCAAGTTTAGGTTGTTTCAGAATTTTGTACCCAACATGTAAGGGAAGGGGCTCAGAAGTTCGCAGTCTGCAGAAGTTCACAAAAAGCAGTTTTGTTTTGTTTTGTTTCCTCTGTTCTGGGCAAGTTAACCCTTCAAGGACACTTGGGAGGGGGAGAGCTTTTTCTTCCCTTTCTCTCCTCTTCCCCCCACCCTCCCCATCCCCTCCAGCTGTTATCATGGAGCCCAGTTGGTAACCTCCTTATCTTAGACATGTAGCCTTCTCTGTGAAGCCCCAGCTCAAGGCCAGAGGCCTTGTTTTACATATTTTGTGAAAAACTAGTAAGGGGGTGTCCAGCTTTTCGAGTGCTGATTTTTCCAGCCAGTGACCAAATAAAACAGGGCAACGGGAAAATAGGAAGTTTATCTACATTGAACTTTTTGTAGAGATTCTTTTGCTGAAAGTCCTAAAATCAGCCATGGTGAAGATTTCTGGAGAAGGTCAGTTAAGCCTTTTCTGTGGGCCTGGGTAAGGAGGGGAAGATGGGAAGGCGGGGCTGAGAGCAGCTCGGTGGATCTGAGAATGAGGAAGGAGTGATGTAAAAGAATAGGATTTTCCCTAGCAAGGAAAACTTGAGCAGTAGAACAGGTAGAGCAGAGGGGAGGATGGGAGTGAATATCCCAAAAAACCTGTAAGGGACAATTCTTAGTAACCTGTTTTCAGTGATGACAAAGCAACTTTAAAGGACACTTTCACCAGATCTCTGATAGGGGTCCAAGGGCTCTCCTCAGCTTGTTTGAGCTTTGGGTTAGTTGGTAAGAGGACCTGGTGGCACCTTGTGTGGGCGCTGACAGAAGAAGAGAGGAGTGAGTGGGTGAAGGGATTCCTTCAGTACCTGCTACCTCAGGAAAGAGGCAATGGTTTGAGGAAAGGCGGTTGTTTAGTTTTTGATCTAGTGAGTGGAGAGGAGAAGTCAGGTTGTTCAGGTGGGGGAGACAGTGGAGGGGCTGGGGCAGAAGGTTGAGGATGAGGACTATTTGAGCCGGGCCATAGGGTGGAAATTCATCAGTAGGGTCAAAAGTAGTGGATGAGTCCGGAGGAGGAGAAGATTGGGGGTCAGTGGTTGTGGGTGTTGGTTTGCAAGCTAGAAGAATTTGCAGAGGTCTGCAAAAGGTGCAGAGAGCACAAGCAAGAAGAAAGCTTTGATATAACAGCTTTTAACCCATTTTTTCGAATGCTCACAGTAATTGTAGAGATCCCTTAGAATGGAGGGATCCAGGGACCCAAAAGGAGGGCCATCTGCTTTGGTTGTCTAAGGGATAAGTAGGCCAGGCCTGGGTGCTATATTTGATCAATTTTGGGGGTTTGATGTCTGGTGTCAAGGAGAGGGTTTTGAGGTTATCCAAGAGGCATTGTAGGGGAGAGTCGACCGGTAGAGGACACATTACCCAAGTCGCAAAGTAGTATAAGGAGGAGGGAAGGGGACGCAAACAGTTTAGAGGAGAAGGAAGAGGACGCAACCGTAGTATAAGAGAGAAGGAGGAAACTGATTTATTGGCAAAAGGGGCGTCCCCGCTAGAGCCAAAAATCAGGAGTGCTTTAGTGGCAGGTTCGAGCTGCAGAGATTGGTCGTCACCGAATCCTGACAGTCGAAGCTCTCGTCCTGGACGGAGCCGGGGCCGTGGGAGACCTTGGCCAAGGTTTTTCGGGACCCCCTCCTGGAGAGGCCGGATACTCCCAGGGCCGGAAAGAGGGGAAAGAGAGAGACAGGGGAAGAGAGAGGAAGGGGAGGGTAAGCGTCTGAGGACTAGGACTTTAGGAGAGCCACCAAGATGGTGAAGGTCTGGGTTGGGTGTGATGTTCAGTTCTCTGTTATGTGTCCCCGGAGGTTACACAGTCCTTCGAGGGAGACCTACAAAGCCTATGCTGGTAACTAACAGCTGGGAAGGGAAGGGAATAATTTTGAACCCAGGAGTCTATTCTGCCCTAGGAAGGAGTCCCTGAGGGCCACCGTAGCCTGAAAGGCTGTGGTGGGGTGTTTTCCTCCCCACAGGTGGGCAAAGAGGTTTGCCAGACAATCAACGGCCAAATCCTCCTGACACCACCTTTGGGTTTAGGACTCCAGGAAGGGAAAACTCACCAATCTGGCTGGTGGTGGATGGAGTTCTGGCAGTCGAGAAAAGGGGTTCAGGCCTGGGTTCAGGCCATCCGGTGAGTGGCACTTCCGAAGGAAGAGGGACCCAAAAGTGGGTTTTAACCCTCTCCCGGGTTTCGGCACCAATGAAAGGAAAGTGACCACAACACTCGAGCAACCAAAAGATCTTTATTGCAGCAGTGCAACAAAGAGAAAAGAAAGAAGGGGGGGGGGGAAGCGCACGCAGGAGAGAGAGAAAGCAAGAGAGATAGCAAGAGAGAGGGAGCAAGAGAGAGAGAGCAAGAGAGAGGGGGGCCTGGCAGGAGGGAGTTTTTTATAGCCCAAATCTAATGGGGCCTCTGGGTCTGCAAGCTGCCTTGTTGGCCCAAGGGGGGGTTAAGTGTTCAGCCTTGAGCAGGGTTGAATGTTCAGACTTGAGGCAAACAGGTGATAAAGGACCAGATAGAGGGGGGTTTGAGTGCATGGGCTATCTTGCAGCCAACATCTGTTCAGCCTGCTCTGCACCCAACAGTTTAAATGGAGGCAAGGCCTGTCTCAGTTCTCACCGCTTTTTTAAAGCCCTACAACACTCTCTGTAGGTCCTTGTAAAAGCAGGAAACAGTCACCTATCATTTTACCTTTGAATTTTACAGCAGCTATCTATAAATGCTGAAGTTCAAAACAATGTGTAAAGAAAATTACTCTGGTAATTAAAGGGTTACTGCTATTATGTTGCTGCTAATCCAGTTTTGGGAAAGCACCACAGTGCAGAAGCAATTAACCAAATCAAACTGAAAAAGAAAAGACAAGGAAAGAAGAAGGGGGGCAGGGGTGTGGAGAGTGGGCCACTCAAACAGAAGAGAGCAAGGGAGAGGTAGAAATACTTCCTGGAGACACCCAAACCCACCCCAGTCAGGAAAACACAGGAGCTAAACTTACTGCAAATACTTAAAACAAACTTAAGGAATTGCCCAAATGCCACAGCTTGGTCATAAAAGGAACTAGCCCAGGTTTCTAGAAGGAAAGAAGTGTTAAGACTGGGAAATGGCAGTGATTTTAAAAGGTCTGATTTTAAAAACCAAGTTTATGCATTCAGGATTTTCAAGGTTATCTTCCTTTCTTCATAAATGCATGTGACATGTGACCTCATGGCACACAAGCTTAGTGTCTGACTCCATAAATGCGTCCAACATTAAGTCAAAAGTCAGGCCTGGTATGGTGGCACATGACTGTAATCCCAGCAATTGGGAAGCTGAGGCAGGATGGATCACAAGTTCAAGACCAGCCTCAGCAAATTAGGCTTTAAACAACTAAGGAAGACCCTATCTCAAAAAAAAAAAAAAAAACAACTGGGGATGTGGCTCAGTGGGAAAGTGCCCCTGAATTCAATCCCCAGTACCAAAAAAAGGAAAAAAAGAAAAAGAAAAAGGAAGACAACACAAAGTTTAACACAGTGTGAATTTGCCACAATTCCAGCCAGTCCAAAGGACTAGTTCCTGAAATACTTACAGAAACCAACTATTAATGATAATCAATACAAATAGTCTCTCTCTCTCTCTCTTTTTTTTTTTTTTTTTGCAAATCTGCAGGTAATTGGTGGCCAGCTCTGTATGCACTGGCTTCTGGACCCAGAGACAAGATCTCCTAAAATAGATTCACAGGATGAAACCAAAATCCAAAAAATGTGGATAGCCTACATTGAGACTATTGGGGCAAAAAGAATTTCCATGTATTGATTCATTCCCCGATTTCTTCATCCCTAATATTTTCTGAGCATTTTGAGGTTTTTCTCCAATTCAGATAACTGGACATTCAAAAAGATCCATTTTAGTAATCAACTGTCTAGAACAGTCTGAAAGGACCCATTCAACCTGGCTACCCTCATGGTCTGATTTTAAAAACCAAGTTTATGAAGAAAATTATAGTTCTGTTAGACAACACAGTGTGATAAAGGAAAATTTACTCTTTATTTTCATATATACAATATATATATATATATATATGTGTGTGTGTGTGTGTGTATGAAAACAGCTTAACTCACATAATATAGAATCCACCTATTCTAAAGTGTATACAATTCAGTGATTTTTAATATGTTCATAGTTGTACAACTATTACCATAATAAGTTTTTAGAACATTCCATCCTAACTTGCCCTCAGAGGGTAATGTATCCATTAACAGCACTATCTCTCCCTTCCCCTTAGGCTCTAAGCAATCACTAATCTTTCTGTCTTCATAAATTTGCCAGTTCTGGACTTTTCATATAAATAGAATCATATACTATATACTCAGTTGTGTTCAGTTTATTTCACTTAGTGTAATATTTTTGAGATCCATCTATGTGTAGTCTTATGAATACTTAATACTTAATTTTTTTTTGCTTGCCAAAGAAAATTTTATTGTATGGATGTACCACATGGTATTTATCCATTCATCAGGTGATGAACATTTAGTTTTTTTTCTCTCTGGAGCTTTAACAAATAATGCTGCTATGAACATTAGTGCATAAATTTTTATGTATCTTAAGCCTATACTTAACAGAATTACTGGTGACTTTATTTTTAACTTTTTTTTTCTTTCTTGGGTACTGGGGATTGAACCCAGTGGTTTAACCACAGAGCCACATCTCAGTCCTTTTTACTTTTTATTCTGAGAGAGGCTCTCACTAAGTTGCTTAGAGCCTTGCTAAATTCCTAAAGCTGATCTTGAACTTGCAATCCTCCTGTCTCAGCATCCTCAGCAGCTGGGATTACAGGCATGTGCCACTGTGCCCAGCTATGTTTAACTTTTAAAGGAACTGCCAGATTGTTTTCCAAATCAACTCCTCCATTTTACATTCCCACCAGCACGGTAAGAGAAGAGATTCATTTACTCCTAGATTCAGATACCTCCTACCTGTCAGCTGTGGGACCGTGGGCCAAGTGTATATAACTTACAACCACCTCCATTTGTCATCTGTAAAACAAGAATGATAGTAGTATCTACTTCACTTGGTTTTTATGAAAAATAAATGCAATGAGATGTGCTAATATTCCTCATATAAAGTAAGCCCTCCATAAATGTATTAGTTCTCCTTCTGTCTTTTATATTTGGTTGACAACTTTTATTCTGTAATAATGCCAGAGATGAAACTGTAATACCCTATTAACAGTAAGAGATACATGTACATAGTTGGTGCTGCATAAATATTTTTCATGGATAATTGGAAAAGCAATAGAGCTTATATTATTTTAAAAAAAATTTTAGTTGTAGATGGACACAATACCTTTATTTTATTTATTTATTTTTATGTAGTGCTGAGGATTGAACCCAGAACCTCACATGTGCTGGGCAAGCATGCTACCGCTGAGCTACAACCACAGCCCCTCTTATATTATTTTAATACCCAATAATTTTATCTCTTTCCACCTAGTACAGAACTAATATCTGAGATCTTAGGAGGAGACAGTAAAGAAATAAATCAGCATTGTTGTTTTTTTTTTTTTTTTTTCCTTTTTGGAGGACGAAGGCTGAATTTTTCAGATTTTCCTGAAAATAATTTTTATTTCCCCAACATTTACATACAGAAGAATCTCATAATGACCATCCATATACACATCATCTGGATAAAACTACTATTAAATTTTGCATATTTGCTCTGTGTGTGTGCGTGTGTGTGTGTGTGTGTGTGTTGCTAAGCTATTTGAGAGTAGTCTGTAGGTATCAACACACTCCATCCCTAAGTATTCTAGCTTGCCTCTTCTAAAAGTAAGAGCTTTCTCCCAAATGATCAATTACCTAAGGGAATAAAGGGTAATTCCCTAAATCTTCTACTGTTCAGCCAATACTCAAGTTTTCTGAGTTGTCCTCTACATGTTGCTTACAACTTTTTCTCCCACTGAGAGTCTAATGAAGTTTTACTTGTTGCCGCAGTTCAGCTGGGCCACATCCCTATTCCCCAGCTTTGCTCTTAATCAATCTGAGTAATTGTGACTTGAATCTCTGATATCAGTAGGAAAAAAAAAAAAGTATGTTTGTTGTTGTTTTCAGATTTAATCTTAGCTGGTGTACCTCTGTCCTACCCAGACACTTCCTTACTTTCTTTGTCTTAGTTCCGATGAAGACTGAGATAAGAGTAGTTAAAAAAAAAATTGTGTTGTTTTTCATGCATGATGACATTCAACTAAACAGAGTGATGCTGACTGTCAAAGACATGTTGGCTTTCTCCCCACTGTTGTGATTTTCTTTCCCTTTTCTAATGCTACCTTGAATTATGATAGTCATGTGGTCCATTGCCCATTGCCCATGGATGGATCAATCAGATTATCTTATCTCCCTTAATGATTAGTCCAAAGAAGGACTGGTGACCCATGTCAGGACAATCAGAGTGGGACTAAACACCAGAGCTTTAGATTGAACTGTTGGGAGAACAAATTCTCTCTTTTCCGTTAGACCTGAAAGAGGAGGGCTATACAGATGCCCCTCATCTTACAATAGGGTTACATCCCGATAAATCCTTTTTGAGTAAAAAATATTGTAAATCAAAAGTGCATTGAATGCACTTTACCTACCAAACATCCTCGCTTAGCTACACAGAACACTGTGGAGTGTTCACCCTCATGATCTCATGGCTGGCTGGAGCTTTGGCTCAGTGCAGCTGCTCAGGACCATACCACCTAGCACTAGCTCAAATTCAAACTTCAAAGTACAGCTCCTATGTAACACATATTGCTTTCGTGCTATCATTTTTAAAAATTCATACATCAAAATCCTTGTAACACAGGGATTGTTTGTAATCTGGAGACATAAAAAGAAACCAGAACCTGGTCACAGCGTGTGAGTATTGATCTCATCTTTATCTGAAGCCAGGATGCTTGCCCACCCCCCTTTAATTAGCCAATACATTACTTTTTTTTTTTTTTTTTGCTTATTTCAGTTAGGCTGTACTTTGTTGTTTGCTGCTTAAAGAGTCCCAAGCAATTCGGTTCTCTTAATTTGCTCATCACTTACCCTCGAATGTCATATACTGTGAAGATAAAATAGTAACTAATAGTAATAATAATGCTAAGTTCATAAAACATTATTGAACAGCTTAAAATATTGTTATAAAACACAACCATTTAACCACTATCCAGAAAAGGAAGCTTGGGGATACCTTGGAAACCTCTCACCCACCGTTCTCATTCACAACTGTTTCACTAACCCCTAAGGCAACTCTTTTCCCGACTTTAATGCAGTTACTTCCTTTCCTTTGACCATCTAAGTATGAATCCCTGAACACCGTCATTTAGTTTCACCTGTTCCTGGATGTTATAAAAACCGAATTAGGTGTCACGTGCTGTTTTGTGGTGAGCTTTTTCTGCTTAACATCATGAGATTCAATTATGTTCTTGTTCGTTGCAGTATAGATTTCCTTCATAGGAATACAACACTATTTATTCATTCTACTACTTATGAACACTAGGTTCATAAACAGTAAAATTTCAGTTTGGAGTTATTATAATTTACATTGCTTCTGACGTTTGGGGCTTGTCTTCCTGCTGTGTGCCTGTGTGTATAGAGCTGCTTGTCTTCTGCTGGCTTCCAAGGTGTTTGTACGAATGTACACTCCCAATAGCGATCTTTGGCAGTTTTTGTTGCTCTGTAACCTGTAATTGGTATTGGTAATCCTTTTAGTGTTAGCCATTCTAGTGGGTTTTTAACTTGCATTTCCCTAATTGCTAAACAGGTTGAGTTTTTTTCATGTTTACCAGCCTTTTAAATATCCTCTTTTGTGAGTTGCTCAAGACTCTTACCCAATTTTCTCTTGGGTTATTTGTCTTTTGCTTCTTGAATGTTTTGTAACTCTTTGTGTGTATTCTGAATGCAAGTCTCTGGTCAGTTAAAGACACAGCAAACTCTTTACTGTAACTGCCCTTTTCATTCTCAAAATGGTATCTTTTGATGAATATAAATTCTTGGTGTAAATTTAATATTTTTTATGTGTAAGCCTTGTTTTATACCTCTCTTCCCCTTGTTCCTCAATGCCATTTCTGTCAAAAGCTGAGTGTGCCTCTCTATCTGGACCTGCTTTTGAGCTTTTTATTCCAACCCACAGGTTTGTGTTTAGCCTAGGTTGATACAAAACTTTCAATGACACTAGCTTAAAAAGGGGTCTATTTTATGTGGTGCTGGGTATGGAATCCAGAGCCTTGTGCATTTTAAGAAAACACTCTACCACTGAGCTACACCACCAGTCCCAGGAAGTCTTGATCTAGGTTAGAATACACTGTCCCACTTTGTTTTTTCTTCATTTTCAAGAGAATCTCGCTGTTCACATTTCTGAATCAATTTTGGAATCAGCTTGTCCAGTTTCCCAAGATCCTGTTGAGGATTCTTATTCATCTATCATTACATGAATTCCTGGATACTTGATGTTTCTTTATGCTATTGCTAATGCTGAATTTTTTTTTTTTTTTGGTGGTGGGGGGAGGTGTTCCAGGGATTGAACTCAGGGACACTCTCGACCACTGAGCCACACCCCCAGCCCTATTTTGTATTTTATTTAGAGACGGGGTCTCACTGAGTTGCTTAGCACCTCGCCGTTGCTGAGGCTGGTTTTGAATTCACAGTCCTCCTGCCTCAGCCTCCAGAGCCATGCCCAGCTGAAATTTTTATCTTATGTGAGGCTATCAGAATATATAACAGCAACTTTCAAGAGTCCCTGGACTCCAAGAACTCCTGTCTCTTGAAGTGCAAAGGCAGACACATAAATGATTTGATTTGATGGTGATAGATGTGCAAAGTGGTGTGGGTGGGTTACAGTTGAGGTGAGTATAGTTACCATGAGGATACACGCGGTGTGAGGGAAAGGGGAATAGCCCATTCTCTGGGGTCCTCGGGATGCTGGAAAGGGAGAGCATCCTCACTGTTGAAAAATATATGAAAGTGAGCTAAGTGAGTAAGGAATTAAAAAAAGATGGTCAGTGAACCAAGTTCTGCTATAGGCAAAACGTACAGAAAGAAAGAGGGATGCACCCCCCATGCTGTAGATCAACAGAATTAAGAATGATTAGACAACATACAGAGGACCACCAGCTTCTTGCCATAGCCAATGAGTTATAAAAAGCCCCCCCCACCCACTGAGATACCAGTAGCAGTGGGTGCAGATTGTTCAGATTCTGTAAAATAACTATTATGTGTTATATATTCTACAATGTAGAAACAACTGGAGCAGTTTCATGGGACAATAAGAGAATCAGTGACATCATGGGCTCTCTTTCACCAACTTTGTTGCTTTCTGCTCTATATCCATATAGTCTTTCCAATCTACTGCTATTAAACAGAAAAAAAAAAGTGTACCAAGAAAGAATCAAGTTTAGCCAAGTTTAGATCTATAGGACAGGCAAAATGTAAGACTAACTTCCAGCATTAATACTGACCTCAGTTAAATAAAAGGGGTAAATAACTATAAAGTAATAGACATTAAAGGTAAAACCCAGTACTCTTACTTTAAGACTGGTGAAACTGGCTTGCTGGATATTTAAGACCAAAACTTGGAGAGTAAAAAGTTAAGGAATAAAAGAGCCAAGAAAGAAAATGGCCAATATTTGGCTCTTGCCCTCTGAGTTAACTCAAACCCAGGGAACAAGGGAACTTCTCTAATAGGTTTGTGACTCTGGGCCATGTGACCTCCCGTTCAGAGAAGGTGAATGATAACTCAAGAGAACAGAAAGCCACCGGTGTACATGCTGCAAAGAGGAGGGTCATTGCAGAAGGAGACATCCCTGATGCTTCTAAGGGAAGCCACATGGTCAAGGAGACCCTGGTCCTTCCTGGCAGATGGCACCAAAGGAGCTAAGAGGCTGCTCACAAGTTCCCAAGTGTGACCCCCTGAGGGAACTATCTAACAATAGGTAGGAACAAGGTCAACTTGACCAAGGCAGGTCAAGTTGACGTTGAACACCTAGCAAGAACAGTTATGACCAAAGTACAGCCAGACCCAGGCATTTAAAAGACAATAGTTCTTTGAATTGAACTTAATACATATACTGTGTCAGCCCCATAACCCTGGTACCCCCCAAATTCTGAGGCATTTTTCCTTTGTGAGGCTCATATTTACCCCTGCCTACCAAAAATTGGACTGGCCTCTGTACCTTGGTCTTCCTTAATCCTCAATTTGACATTTTACCTAACAACCAAAGTTTCCCTGTCCTAATTACAGTGAACATAAGTGAGCCCTTCGGTTTCCTCCCTTACTCCTAGGGATATCTGCTGGGATGGGCCCCGGAGCAGCAGGATAGGGAGCCTCAACTCATTACTATGTAAAGTCATCAGAACAGGTTATTGAAGACATCCAACAGGTTGCCAACTTTGTACTGATTTTTCAAAATCAACTGGACTCCCTGACATCTGTCGTCCTGCAAAACCGGTTCAGGAAGAATGCAGTATGAAAACCAATCAGAAGTGGTAAGAGACAGCTCCAGGACTATCTGGATCAGCAAAGACGAGAACCAGCTGATTTTGGTCGTCCTTAGTGGGGGAATCTAAAATGATGGACCTCCTGGTGATTCCCCCTTAATATTCATCTTTCTCATAATAAGCTTTCTTCTCTGTATTCTTGATTTTATACAGAAACAGTTTCAATGTAAGGTGACCTGTTTAGCTCAAACCGCCTCCCAGGAACGCGTCAAAGCCATTCTCCTGTGCTCACAATCTGATTCCCTGAAACCACAAAAAAGGGGACTTCGTCTAAGATGACCTGAGGCTTCTTCCATATACACCTCTCTTCAGCCTCTACCACTGGGGTCTCCGTCTTCTCTCCCAGAACTCTGAAAGCGGGGAGTCCCTGACACTACTCCTTCTCAGCAGGATGCAGCCGGATATTCATTATTTCTGTTCAGTCTGGAAAGGAGGATATGGAAAACTACAACCCCCAGGGAGAAAAGAAAACAATGGGTTCAAGGGAAAGAAGGAAGACAACTGTGCTCTGGACTTTCACAGTTTCCTGTTCTACAACTGTTTCCCTGACTGCCCAACCGACACAGTCTGCTGTGATTAAGTCTAACTAAACCCTACCAAACTTAGACCCCTATTGTAACCAGTTGCCATCTTTCTCCTAAAAATGGGCCCTTCTACTGCTTAATAAAGCATCACTGATCCACCAAGGTCTGTCCCTGTTCCTTTTACCTTTGCTTTCATTCAGTGGTTTGGACTTTGATAGGAAATGGAGAAGCACTGATAGGTATATGCAGAAACTTCACACACATTTACCATGCTCTGGGTCTTGTACTATGAGGTTGATATTTACTACCTTTAATCCACAGCAAGAATTGATATTTACTACCTTTAATCCACAGCAAGAAAATCTATAAAGTAGGCAGCATTATGATTTCCATTGTAAACATGAGGGAACTGAGGCACAGAGGGGTCAAGTAACTCACCAGGAGTCACAGAGGTAGTTAGGAGCACTGCACAATACCCTGCTTCCTGCCACAGTGACCATGTCAGAAGTGATGTGAATTCACAGAACCAAATGTCTGAGTCTAGAACTCACACCTCACTGGTCTTTCCCTGGTGATGCGTAAATACTATTTTTACCTGAAAGAACTGTAGAAGCAGAAAGGGCAGTAACACTTTGGGAATCTTCCCTATTGGCGCTCTTTGATGCCTCTGTGTGGTTCTACAAAATAAGACTGCTCGTCTGGTTCACAAACTTCAGAGTATAGTGGAGCAAAATGTCTTTTTATTTAAAAACATAAAAATTGTACATATTAAGGGGGTACCAGGTGATGTTTTAATACATTTTGTATGTTTGATGTAATGTTTAAACCAAGGTAAATAGTTCTATCTCCTATTTATCATTTATGTTGAAAACTCTGAAAATCCTTTCTTCTTGCCTTTGAAATGTATGGTGTGTTATCTGTTATCTGATGCTAGCCAGGTTCAAAGCCTGGTTCTGCCTTTTTTGCTTTTATGTCTTTGACCAGTGACTCAGTCTTTCTCTATTTAATTTCTGACTGAGTGACACTTGCCTCATGGAATTTTATGGAGATTAGATGAGTTAATATACACATAAGATCCCTGGCACAGGGAAAGCAGCATTGCTGTGGTCTGAATAATTGTGACCTCCAAATCACATGTTCAAATGGAATCTTCCATGCAATAGCATCGCAAAAGGCAGGGCCTCTGGGAGGTGACCAGTTCCCAAGGGCTCTGTTTTCATGAATGGGATTAGTGCTCTTTTAAAGAGGGTTGAGGGAGCTGGTTCACTCCTCCTGCCATGTGAGGACACATAGAAAGGTGCTCTCTACAATGAAGGGACCCTCACCAAATCTGCTAGTGCCTAGATCTTGGACTCCCCAGCTTCCTGAATAATGAGCACCAAATTTCTATTGTTTATAAACTACCCAGTCTAAGGTATTTTTTCAGAGCAGTCCAAACCAGCTAAGATAAGCATTCACTGTTACTCTTATTATTTTTGTTATTTTGATTCTCATACTTATACTGGTACTATCCAAAGATACTAAAGGTCCTAAGGGTCAGACAATATTTATTGAGTACATAAATAGGTGTGATATAAGTAAATTAGGACTCATAGTTCCTGCAAATACTTCATGTGATATGAATGCAACAAAGTATAATGTCTGTCTTCAAGACTCTCATGACTCAGATAGATGGACCTACTTATGCACCTTGTTTAGAGCTACTGTGCAAGTATTTTCTCCTTTAACTAATTATTCTTTGAAAAAAAATTTTTTTTTAGTTGTAGTTGGACACAATACCTTTATTTTATTTATTTTTATGGGGTGCTGAGGATCGAACCCAGGGCCTTGCACGTGCTAGGCGAGCGCTCTACCGTTGAGCCACAACCCCAGCCTCTTAAGTAATTATTATTTATGTTATGAGCCACTGTTTATTCTTCTTTGAACCCCTCACCCCGTCTCCCTTGCATTTAATAGACTGTATATAGTAAGTCTCCAGTAAATTGGGTTGAATGTTCATGGAACAAATGAAGAACAAATCCACAGTGCACTAGTGCAAGGTCCTACCTGGCCTGCTGATACCCCCTGCCCTCATGCTGACATCCCCATCCTTTCCTTTAAAAAACAAATATTAGCCAGGTGTGGTGGCATGTACCTGTAATTCCAGTGGCTCAGGAGGCTGAGGTAGGAGGATCATGAGTTCAAAGCCAGCCTCAGCAACTCAGTAAGACCCTGTCTCTAAATAAAATACAAAAAAAAAAAAAAGAAAGAAAGAAAAGGGCTGGCTCAGTGGTTGAGTGCCCATGAGTTCAATCCCTGCACCCTCCCCACAAAATATTTTTTAAAAAATTAAAAATGTTGGAAACATTTACAAAACATAAATTTAGTGATTTAAAGTGGATGATTGAGTGGTATTTGTTACTTTCACAGTATTGTGCAACCACTACTGCTTCTCCATTCCAGAACATTCTCATTATCCCCCAAAACAATTCCTGTGCCTGTGAAGACATTGCTCCCTATTCCTCACTCCCTTCTTAAAAGATCTTTCCTTCCATCTGACCTACTTCCAGACCGGCTCTCCAACTGTCATCGTTAACTTTCAAGCACCTTGTTTTCAGGTACCTTTCTCTCTGAGCACTCCTACAAAGCTCTGGATAGGTCCCCTGTCCTCACATGTCCCTCTCAGCATCAAGCTTCCAGCCCACTGACCCTACCAAACGACATACTCCGCCCTGTCCTTCTATCTCCCTTTACCCACCATCGGGTCTTTTCTCTTGTTTAAACATGTTGCTCGTAAACACTTTTTATGGTGCTGGGGTTCTGTGAACTTTCCTAACGCTCTTCCCTTTCATCTCCTCTGCACCTGCCCCTGCCCCAACCACAACCTGCGATTCTTGGCCCTCAGCACCCTCCACTTCATTGTCATGTTCATAAGTTGGCCCCCATCAGTGCCGGACACACGCTGCTTTTTTCTCAAACCTTGCACATCATACAGACTCTCTCTCCTCCATTCACTTTCAGCTGAGTGCCCAGCTGAGGAAACAGGAGTGACCCATCAAATTCCTCACCTTTCCACCATGAAATGGTCAGTCCTTACAGTGATAATCTAGGCCTTCTTTCTTATTCACCAAGAGAAGTTTCCTGCTCCTACCGAATATCAGATCCTCAAAGAGAAATCAATCTGAGTCTCTGCCTGTCTTGCTTTCTCAGGGATTTAGAACCTGCTATATATTTTTCATATATATACATGTATGTATGTATGTATGTATATATAAAATGTACACATAAAAATACTACTCATAGGCTATATGATTGGTATATAGATTAATATGTTATATATAATATATCATATATGTATTATTATATATATTACTACTCACAGGATGTCAGAAGGCCTCCAAGCATTTTCTATAGCCCAACATAGCAAGGGAGCAGCAGAATGGATTACCCTGGGCTAAGGGATATATAAAGGAAGCAAGGCAGATCATTTTCTAGAGAGCCCTACAGATGGAATGAGGAAGCGACATATCGCCAGTTCAGGCTAACATACGAAATCACCAGGCAAGAGACTTCAGGGGCAAGGCCAGCTTGAATGGAGGACAGTGAAGGGCCAGTCCCTCTTACCCTGCATGTCAAGGCACTCAGTAAGTTCCCTGGAACCTAAAGGAAAGAAAAGGAGCCATGTGGGTATTGACTGTAATATTATTTTTAACTCCTGATTGATTGGGGGCTCTAATTATAAATTAAGATGAGATAACATTTTTAAAGTGTTTTTACAGACCTGAGTATAAATGGAGATCCCATTTCTATCATTAAGACTCATCTTATTGATATAAACAGAGCTGTGTAAAAACTACAAAGGGCTTTGGGGAATCCAAATGTATTTATTTAAATATCAATAGTGGCTTAGCCCTGCCTGCCAGGAGGAATAAATTGTAAATTTAAAATAGAGTAAAGCCATAGCCAGGTTGCACGCCTGTAATCCCAGCAGCACGGGAGGCTGAGATGGGAGGATTGCAAGTTCAAAGCCAGCTTCAACCTGGGCGAGGCACTAAGCAGCTCAGTGAGACCCTGTCTCTAAATAAAATATGAAATAGGGCTGGGGATGTGGATCAGTGGTTGAGCACCCTTGAGTTCAATCCCCAGTCCAAAAAAAAAGAATAAAGCCATTAAGGGAGTAAAGGATTCCAACCTCAACTTGAAACTTAGAGACATTGCAGACCCAAATTTGGCTAGAATTAGGGAAGTGAACATGAGACCCTTTTTAACTATGAAATCCCTGTAAAAATGACCACAAATAGGCCTCAGTATGATGCGAAAACAAAATTTCAAGTCCTGTCAAATCATGGTTCAGTTTTTTCCTCAGTGCCCTCCTCTGAAGAAAAGAGCAATTGTTAGCCATGGTATAATGGTTTACTTCATATGTTCTTTTTAATTCCAGGAAAATCTGGAATTGAGAATAAAGGTAATGGAGTAAATAATAATGAGAGATTCATTCAAACGTATTGTACTCATAGCTGTGGTAAATACAGAAATAATAGATCTATGTTTGCTATTTAGAATGTTTATAATTGTTGGGGGAATTTAGTATGATAGCAAATCAAGCAGAATTACCTTATGATTTCAATTTATGTTATAAAATTGAGTAATATATTAACTTCTTACTTTAAGTTCAACGTGTTAGAAAAATCTTACTACATTTACAGCCAGTATTGAAACACTTAAGAAAACCCGATATCCACCATATTTATGTTAAATACATTAGAGTTACTTATATTCTTTTTGTTAGACAATAAAAGCAACTATACTAAATTTATGAATGTAATTTCAAATGCTTTAGGAATTTAAGTTTATAAATATGCCCAGACATTAATCAATGGCCTCCCCAACAGTGATTATTAAAAGTCTTTCTATTTATTAATAGAACAACATGACATTTATTGTGAATTTAAAATTTTAAGGACAAATAGAATTTTTTTGACCTGAATCCCTGTAGGTGGTACAATCAAATTAGGATTAAAATAAATCAAAATATAAACCATAAGTTATCTTTTGGGCGCATAGGAACTGCCGTTGGCGCACACTGATAGTGCATGCTGTAATGTTTTGCAGAGAAAGAGGGACACACAAGGGATGGAGGAACTGGAGCCAAGCAAGTCAGAGGGAGCCCACGGATGGGGCAG